AGGTCTAGGCTGCGGTCCATCAACAAGCCAATGCATGGGGAACCGTACAATTCTTTCATCGAGCAAGAGACTGCCATGCGCGACTCCTATTACATCCGCAGCTTCATCCATGAAGTGCCTCCCGACTGCTGCTCCGAATGCGCTGCTTCCCTTGACAGCCTCGTCCCAAAAGCCAGCCTGTCCTACCAACCGGTTTCTTGACGCATCGTTCCTGAGCAGGCTCCATAGGCGGGGAAACAAGCTCAATGGGGCGATCGCCCGTTGGTCTCCTGTCTCCTTGGAGATCAGTCCTGTGATGGCGGGCAGCAGCTGCCGCGGCCATGTTAGGTTTCCCGATGAGCTTGAATGTGCCTAGAAGTTCCGACTGTCCCTGGGACCCCAGCTCCTGGGTATCCTTGGGCCCAAAGTTCTCGATCCCTCGACCAGTCTGGGCAGGGATCAGACGGAGACCCGCCTGGAGCCTATCGAGGTTTAAATCAGAAAGCGTCTCTTCTTTGGCTGGCTTCGGCCTCTGTCGAAAGCTGCAGAGACTCCCGCCCCGCGCCCTGTCGATGTTGGGAGCAGACCACATAGCAAGCCAGCGGACCCCGCGGTGGTCCATGACCTCCCTATTGCTTCCAGCGCAACCTGAATCTAAGGGCGACTCTGATTGGACCTTGGGCGGGGGCTTGGAGTAACGGCGCAGCTTGCCAACCTTCTGCGAAAGGGCCTCCGCGACTCGCGAGCGCAGCACGGGTCGAGGCTTTCTTGGCATAGGTAGCATTGGCACGTGAATTCTCTCTGAGAGTCTTCCAGTGGGTGGCGGTCAGCCTGTCGGGGTCCCGAAGCCAAATCTGCCAAGAAACAACAGCCTCAGGGGCAAGGGCCAGCGCGGGCCCAAACGGGATCGAGCACGCACGGGCTCTCAGCTTTCGTTTGGCTTCGAGGCCCTGGGGGGTGGCCTGTCTCCCAGCGTCCACTAGGCAGGCCGACGCCTCCCCAACCGCTGCCAGGTTGGCCACCTCGCCCCACCAAGTGGCGACCGGATCAACGAAACGCGATGGCTGGTCCTTCCTGGGCATGCGCCTGACGCGTGGGGTAGGCGTCGCAGCCCTCCCCAAGAAAAAGGTTTGCTGGTCAGGTGGGGTGTCAGAAAGTCTCACAAAGAACTTCTCCAGGCGACCGGCCCAGCTCGAGAAAAGGCAACTCACCGCGAAGGATTGGGTCGACAGTCTGAAACTCCAGGAGTCCTGAATGTGGCCTGGGATGGGCGTCGAGCGGCCCTCTGGCGGCAGGTCGTCCCAGACCGCGCTCGTCTCCGCGTCGGAGTAGCACCTGGCGGCAGGCATGGCCTCGCCCTCCTACTTGGACAGCGGGAGACCTCCCCATTCACGGTTCTCCTGTGCGGGGTCGTCTGGCCCTTGGGCCTCGTCAAAACTCATGGCCTACTGGTGTGCCTCCGCGCCCACGAGGAAATCGTCGTCGCTATCGAAATTCGAAGGGCCCGCAGAAACTGGGGCTGACGATCCCCTGCCTGGGCTCGGACCACTTCCCCCGCCAAGGTCTTCGGGGCAGGTCGGCTCCAGGCGAGGGGCAGTGCCTGCTGAAACCGAAGTAGACGTTCCCCTCCCTGAGCTCGGACCACCTCCCCTCCCAGCAGGGCAGGTCGGCTCGGAGAGAGGGGCAGTCGGCGAAACTGGCGTAGACGACCCCCTTCCTGAGCTCAGACCCCCCCTTTCCAAGGGACGCCGCAGCAGACACGTCTGGCGGCGACCCGAGATCCTCAGCGCAGGTCGGCTCGAGGAGAGGGGCAGTAGGGGAGGCCATTGAGGAGTGCGTTCCCCTTCCTGAGCTCAGACCACCTCTCCTCCCAGCGGGGCAGGTCGGTTTTAGGAGAGGGGCAATGCACGAAACCGAAGTAGACGTTCCCCTTCGTGAGCTCAGACAACTTCCCTTTCCAGCGGGGCAGGTCGAGGATATGGGCAACAGGCGAATTTGATGCAGGCGATCCCCCGTTCGAGCTCAGACCACCTCCCCTTCCAAGGGATGCCGCAACAGACGCGCGCGGCGGCAACCCAAGATCCCCAGGGCAGGTCGGCTCGAGGTCAGAGGCAGTAGACGAGATCGACGTAGATGCCCCCCCCCCCCTCTGGGCTTCGGGACCCCTCCCTTCCAAGGGAGGCCGCAGTGGCCGAACCAGGCGACAACCCGAGATCCTCAGGGCGGGTCTGCGCGAGGGGAGGGACAGGAGCCACTGCGCGTGCAGGTTGACACCCCATGATAGCTCGGACCTCGTCTTCATCTCTAGGAGGGAGTCCTCTTCTGTATCTCATGATAGGTACGAGGGCGCGTCATCGTCTGACTGATCCAAGGTCGCCGCACGTCGTAGAGTAGATCCATTCACGTTCCTCTCTGCCTGTTTGCGGCTGCGCTTGCTTTCTGCTTCTGGCCCGCGCTTCGGGCGGGGAGGGTGCACAGAACGACGAGGCAGTTGCAATGTTCTAATCTCGGACAACAAGGTATTGGCATGTAGTTTGCGCCAGATGCTCTTGTGGTCCCCTCCTGGCGTCGCCGGCGAAACATTCATATCTGAGCTGCGACGTGAACTTGGAGAAGAGAAAGACATCCAGCATGTTGCAGGGCGATCGGTTGCACGTCCAAGACGTGTTCCCAGGCGCGACCACCGTTCCACCCGACAATTCTGGCCATTTGGACTGCGTGAGAGCTGCCGGCGAGACATTCCAATCTGCTGCGGTGATCCAAGACATCCTTGTGAGCCTCTAAAAGGCGCCGAGATTGGCCAATTTCTCCGCATTGATACCACCCAGACTCGAGCCTGGCGTGAGATACAATGAGATAAAGATCATGTCCAAACCTCCTGTGAGCTCGACGGATACTGGGGCCTGACAACTGGCCCTCCAGGCGCCCCAATCCTTCCTGCTGGTCTGGGGCCCTGCAGAGATCCTTATGCGGGTGACTTTTTACATGTCTCCTGACGCCCGTGACAACTCCTCCTGGCTGCACGGTGTCACCCCTGGCTCTGGGCGGGGAAACAACGGCCTTCCAACCGTGCCTATCCATAGCATTGGTAATGGCAGGATAATCGTCGAAGTGGGTCTCTGCAAACCCCACCACGTCCGCTCCAACACCGCCGTTGACGTCGTTGAGCGTGCTGTCTCCCCACGACAAGATGTTGCGAAAGTAGAATGATATCTGTCTGTCAACTGATGCCTTCTTCTGGCCCCCACTCCTCTGGTAGCACACCGCGCCGCCCTCCCAAGGTTGGGGATGCCCCGAGCCCCTCTTGAAGCCCCTCTCGGGGCGCCGAGGGAGCGGCAGTGAGTGGCTAGGAAGAGGAGGGGGTCACCATCCGCGCGCCTGGCGGCTTCCTGCTCGAACGCCTCCCTGGCCTTCTCAACCTTGTCCCTGCCAGCGGGCGGCTGACCATCCGAGCTGGGATCTCGAGACTGAGGTCGCGGGGCCCGTTGGCTGAGGTTTGCGCTGTCCTGGGCGGGTGGGGGCTTCTCGCCTGGGTCAACGCCCTCCTGGGTTTTTCTCTTCTTACCGAGTCGGAGACGTTGGGCCTCATGCTACTCCCTGGCCTTCGCACACTTGGTGGCCGCCTCAGAGAAAGACACTTAGCTGCGGTCTGGAGCAGAGAGACCAAGGCCTCCCGCCGCTCTTCTGCTTGTTTAAATTCCACTTCTTCGATACACGCCGGTCGTTAAAAGTAGGTATCTTTGGATTATCAGATCCCAATCTATTTCAAGCGCCTTGCTACTTCAAGAGTCGACATGCTTCTGCTGTGTTTTGTTATTCTCTGGGAGGACCTGGACCCAATCTACTATATCGGCCTTCTTGCTTAATGGTTCTACCTACTTCTTCCGACCGACGTGTATCCTCATCACCCTCCAAGTGGAACACATCTCCGAAGTCAATGGTGACACCGTCCAACGAACCATCCAGGAGCCCGCGGAGGGACGGCGTCGGGTTGGCTGCGGAGTGCTCAGACTCCTGTTGGGTTTTGGGTGCATCGCCGCTGACCTCCGCCGCCACCAACTTGTCACAGTCTGCCTGCAGGACCTCCAGCTTCTCCTTGAGCGTGCCGATGTACTCCCAATGGTTGTCGATGTTACGCTTCCATTTGAAGTATTGGTCCATAGCCTTCGTTGGTCGAGCGCGCGCCTTGATGCTGCCAGGCGCTGCTCGATGGTCGGCGGCGGCGGCGGCGCTCTGTTGAGAAGATTGAGCTGCTTGTCACATAGGTCAACGAGTGATTTGTTTCCGATCTTGCTTGATCTCTCCCGCAGGCTGGTGAGCTCATCTTTGTCGAGGGAGGAGACATCGAAGTGAGTACTGGACTGCGTATCATCTGAATGCTCCTCCTGCGCTGAAGGTAGTCCCTTGGCCCACCTGGAGTCGGGAGAAGGCCGACTGTTTCCGCAGCTGGGACCCCTTGGCTCCATTCACCACAGCGCTTGCACCAGGGGTAAGAGCTGGCGTTCTTCCCCACCCACACGGCGTACACTTCCACAAGGGGCCCGCGTGTAACCATGGCCCGCGTCTCCAACCAGTATTCCCAAGAGCACTCGAATCAGTAAGCGACGGCTGGCTGACCATCTCCCTGGGAGCACGGAGGCCTGAGAGCGCGCGACCGCCGTTGTGCTGGCTCGGCCTCAGCAGCGCGGAGCTACACTGAGGTGGCCGTGAAGAGACAAGCCTGAAAGTTGGCCGCGGACTAGTCCGGCGGACTAGCGGTATCCCTTTTGCTTCCAGGGAGGAGGAGGAGGAGCAGGAGGAGCATGAGGAGGAGTAGGTGGAGGAGGAGGAGGAGGAGGAGGAGGAGGAGAAGTAGGAGGGAGGAGGAGGCGAACGAGGAGGGAGGAGGAGGAGGAGGAGGAGGAGGAGCAGGACCAGGAGAGGGAGGAGGAGGATGAGGAGGAGGACGAAGACCAGGAGGAGGAGGAGGAGGAGGAGGCGGAGGAGGAGGAGGAGGAGGAGGGGCCGCGCCCCTCCGCCAGGTTGCTTCGTCGCTCCCGCCTCCAGCCCGGCCGCTGCGCCTGCGCGAGCCGTGGCCGCGCCCGCGGAGGGCGCTGGGCTCGGCGGCCTCCGCTCGCCGCGCGCTACCGTCCGCGCCGCCGCGCCGACGTCGACGACGAGGTCGAAACGACGACGATGACAACGACGATGATGCCGTCGTCGTCGGCGAGGACGACGAGGACGACGACGAAGAGGACGAGGACGACGAGGACGCCGAGGACGAGCACGACGACGAGGACGACGAGGACGACGAGGACGTCGACGACGCCGACGACGACGACGACGAGGACGACGACGACGAGGACGGCGAGGACGACGAGGGCGACAAGGACGTCGAAGACGTCGACGAGGACGACGAGAACGACGAGGACGACGACGAGGACGTCGACGGCGACGGCGATGTCGACGACGACGGCGACGATGGGGACGACGAGGACGACAGAGACGTCGACGACGATGACGTCATCGCCGTCGACGAGGACGACTAGGACGACGACGACTACGTCGACGAGGACGACGATGATGACGAGGACGACGAGGACGTCGACGAGGACGACGAGCACGTCGAAGACGACGAGGATGACGAAGACGACGACGAGGACGACGAGGACGGCGACAACGAGGAGAACGACGAGGACGACGAGGACGACGAGGAAAATGAGGACGACGACGGCGTTGACGAGGACGACGAGAACGAGGACGACGAGGACGACCAGGACGACGAGGACGATGACGCCGACGTCGACGAGGACGACGAGGAAGACGACGACGACGACGAGGACGGCGAGGACGACGACGTCGACGAGGACGACGACGACGAGGACGACGATGACGACGACCCCGAGGACGACGATGGCGTCAACGACGTCGACGAGGACGACGAGGAATACGAGGACGACGACGGCGTCGACGATGACGACGACCACGAGGACGACGAGGACGACGAGGACGACGAGGACGACGAGGACGATGACGTCGACGACGGCGACGATGACGACTACGACGACGAGGACGACGAGGAAGACGACGACGACGAGGACGACGAGGATGACGAGGACGACGAGGACGACGAGGACGACGAGGTCGAGGACGACGAGGACGACAAGGACGACGACGACGAGGTCGACGAGGGCGACGAGCACGACAAAGACGAAGAGGACGACGACGACGACTACGAGGACGACGACGACGAGGACGACCAGGAGGATGACGACGACAACGACGACGACGTGGACGGAAGCCGATGATGACGACGAGGACGACGTCGACGACGACCATGAGGACGACGACGACGAGGACGATGAGGACGACGAGGACCACGTGGACGGCGACGACGACGACGAGGACGGCGAGGACGCGGACGACTCCGACAACGCTGACGTTGACGACGAGGACGACGGGGACGTCGATGACGACGATGACGAAATCGTCGACGAGGACGGCGAGGGCGACGACGACGTCGACGAGGACGACGACGAGGACGACGGTAACGACGAGGATTACGACGACGTCGACCACGACGACGAGGACGAGAGCGACCAGGACTAAGTCGACGACGACGGCGACGACATCGTCGACGATGAGGAATATGACGACGAAGATGAGGACGACAACGACAACGATGACGAGGACGAGGACGACGAGGACATCGAGGACGACGTCGACGAGGACGACGACGACGAGCACGGCGAGGACGACGAAGACGGCATCGACGACGACCATGGCGAGGACGACGCGGACGACGAGGACGACGACGATGACGACGATGACGACGAGGTCGACGAGGACGTCGACGAGGACGACGAGAACGACGATGACTCCGACGACGGGGGAAACGACGACGAGGACGACGAGGACGACAAAGACGACGGGGTCGACCACGACGCCGACGAGGACGGCCAGGACGAGGACGACGAGGATGCCGTCGACGACAACGTCGTCGACTCCGACGACGCAGACGCCGACGCCGACGACGACGGAGATGATGATGGCGCCGACGCCGGCGCCGACGACGACGCCGACTCCGACGACCACGGTGACGACGACGATGACGACGACGTTGATGACCTCGACGCCGACGCCGACGCCGACTCCGACGACGATGACGATGGCGACGACGACGATTACAATGCCGACGTCGACGCCGACGCTGATGACGACTCCGACGCCGACGACGACGATGATGAGGCCTACGCCGACGCCGATGCCGACCCCGACGACTCTGACGACGACGATGTCGACGACGATGATGACGCCGACGCCGACGCCGACGCCGATGACGACGACGGCAGTGATGACGCCGACGCCGACTCGGACGCCGACGCCGACGCCGACTCCGACGACTCCGACGACGCCGACGGAAACGACGACAATGATGACGCTGACGCCGAATCGGACGCCGACGCAAACGCTGACGACGACCCCGACGATGCCGACGACAACGACGATGATGACGCCGACGCCGACGCCGACGCCGACGCCGACGCCGACGCCGACGCCGACGCGGATGCCGACTGGCGACGACGACTCCGACGACGATGACGACGACAATGATGATGACGCCGACGCCGACGCCGACGCCGCCTCCGACGACGACAATAACTATGACGACTCACGCCGTCGCCGACACAGACGCCGGCGCCGACGACTCCGACGACGATGACGACGACGATAATAACGCCGACGCCGACGCCCTCGCAGACGCCGACTCTGACGCCGACTCCGACGACTCCGACGACGACGCCGACGCCGACGCCGACGACGACGATGATGCTGACACTGACGCCGACGACGACGCCGACGAGTCTTACGACGATGACGACGATGACGGCGTCGACGACGACGGCGACGACGACGACGACGATGACGGCGTCGACGAGGACGGCGACGACGATGATGACGCCGACGCCGACGCCAGCTCCTGCGCCGACGCCGACGCCGACGACTCCGCCGACGACGAAGCGACGTCGACGCCGACGCCGACGCCGCCGCCGACGCCGACGCCAACTCCGACGACGCCGACGACGACGATGAAGACGACGATGATGATGCCGACGCCGACGCTGGCGCCTGCGCCGACGCCCACGCCGACGACTCCGACGATGACGACGATGACGCCGACGCCGACGACGACGACGCCGCCGCCGACGCCGACTCCGACGACGCCGACGACGACGATGAAGACGACGATGATGATGATGATGATGATGATGATGATGATGATGATGATGATGATGATGATGATGATGATGATGATGATGATGATGATGATGATGATGATGATGCCGACGCTGGCGCCGACGCCGACGCCGACGCCAGCGCCGACACTGACGCCGACGCCGACGCCGACGCCGATTCCGACGACGACGACGACGTCGACGCCGACGCCGACGCCGACGCCGACTCCGACGACGCCGATGACGACAATGAAGACGACGATGATGCCGACGCTGACGCCTACGCCCACGCCGACGCCAGCGCCGACGCCGACACCGACGCCGACGCCGACGCCGATTCCGACGCACGGCGTGCGCTGCGTCTGGCGCGACGACACACAGAGGGGGCAGCCGAATGCTGCGTCTGGACGGCCCGGCAGTTGGAAGCATGGTCCCATCGGCACCGTGTCGTGCTCTTACCAGTCCGAGCTTTGAAGGCAGTGTTCAAGGAAGCTTGGAAAGAGACATGGTTTCGGATTGGGGGCGGACGGAATCCGACCCAGGAGCTTCGGGAGTGCCGCGGAGCCGCCTGGTGGCAGTGCTATTTTGCCCAAGCAGAAGAGGCGCAAGCTGGGAGTCGCACGTCGCAAGGGATGGCAACAATCCCCATATTGGGATTACCCATTCGTCGCCGTGTGGGGGGCAAGATGACGAGATGAACAACGACGTGCGTGCAGCAGCATCGCAGAATGGATACACAAGTTCCAGACGTTCACAGAGAAGCTATCAGCAGTATGGGCGCTGCCTTGGTTAGCATCTGACCCCGGCGGCGGTACGCCCGACCCCTGGAGCTTTTGGAGCACGGTGCGTTTGGACGACGCTGTGAATACCTTCCCTCCTTTGGTGCGCAATCCTCGGGAACTGCAGTTGGGACCGTCTGGGAAGAGGCTGTGGGTACAGACCGACAACCAGCAGGTCCAAGAGATGTTCTCCGGAAGATCCGTCTGTGAAGTGGTGTGGCCGATTTGTGTTCGAATTGCCCGGCACCTACACCTGTTGCTTCAGAATGGATGGTTTCCCCGGGTGGATACCGCGTCGTTGGTGGAATGGGATCCATTGCGCCAACATGGCTTCGGACCAGGAGCACGACTGGGAGGAAGAAGCCGGGCAAGACATCGTAGTGGAAGGGCAGCGAGGATCTCGGCTGAGATTGTGCGTCGATGAGCGCTCCGCCGGCAAGCGGTGGCAGCAGCCAGAATTGCAATGTACACGTGCGCAGCTCCGTCGGAACGTGTTCTTCTTCGACAAACCAGTAGTTATTTTGGGCCTATGCGGAGCTCCTTTGAGGCGGAGCGCATTGCTCGAGAGTGGGGCTTGGGAAAAGTGATCGCTCGGGTACGGTAGAGTTGATGGCGGGAAGTGTAGAGTTTGCATCGCGTAGAGGTGAGGGTGGGTGACTGCACCTTGGCCCAATAAGAGAAGAAAACTATGGCGACGACGGCTACGATTATGACGCCGATGCCGACCCCGACGCCGACGCTGACGCCGATGCCGACGCCGACGACTCCGACAACGACGACGACGATGACGACGATGATGACGCCGCCGACGCCGACGCCGACGCCGGACGCCGACGCCGAGAGCCGACGCTTACGCCGACGCCGACGATGACGATGACGACGACGCCGACGCCGACGCGGACGCTGATTCCGAATGCCGAGTGCCGAGGCCGAGGCCAAGGCAGACGCCGACGGCTACACCGATGACAACGCCGACGACAACGCCGAGTGGCAAGGCCGACGCCGAGTGCCGAGGCCGAGGCCGATGCCGACGCCGACGCCGAGTGCCGAGGCCGAGGCCGAAGCCGAAGCCGAGGCCGACACCCACGCCCACGCCCACGCCCACGCCGACGCCCACGCCGACGCCCACGCTGACGCCGACGCCGACGCTGACGCCGACGCCGATGCTGACGCCGACGCCAACGCCGACGCCGACGCCGAGTGATGAAACCAAAGCCGACGCCGGCGCCGACGTGAACGCCGACGCCGACGCCCACGCCGACGCCGTTGCCAAGAGCCGACGCCGACGCCCACGCCCACGCCCACGCCGACGTCGCCGCCGCCGCCGACGCCGACGCCGAGTGCCGAAGCCGACGCCGAGGCCGAAGCCGACGCCGACGACGACGCCGAGTGCCGACGCCGACGCCGACGCCGAGAGCCGACGCCGAGTGCCGACGCCGAAGCCGACGCCGTCGCCGACGCCGTTGCCGACGCCGACGCCGACGCCGAGAGCCGACGCCGAGTGCCGACGCCGAAGCCCACGCCCATGCCGACGCCGACGCCGACGTCGACGCCGACGCCGACGCCGAGTGTCGAAGCCAGGCCGTCGCCGACGCCGACGCCGAGTGCCGAGTCCGAGGCCGAGGCCGACGCCGACGCCGAGTGTCGACGCCGAGTGCCGACGCCGAGTGCCGACGCCGAGTGCCGACGCCGAGTGCCGAACCCGAGGCCGACGTTGACGCCGACGCCGTCGCCGACGCGGACGCCGACTGTCGAGAGGCCGACGCCCAGTGCCGACGCCAACGCCGTCGCCGACGCCGTCCCCCGACGCCGACGCCCACGCCGACGCCGACGCCGAGTGCCGACGCCCACGCCCACGCCGACGCCGACTCCGAGTGTCGAAGCCGAGGCTGTCGCCGACGCCGACGTCGAGTGCCGAGTCCGGGGCCGACGCCGACGCCGACGCCGACGCCGTCGCCGACGCCGAGTGCCGACGTCGAGTGCCGACGCCGCGTGCCGAAGCCGAGGCCGACGTTGACGCCGACGCCGTCGCCGACGCCGACGCCGACTGTCGAGAGGCCGACGCCGAGTGCCGACGCCGAGTGCCGACAACGAGTGCCGACGCCCACGCCCACGCCCACGCCCACGCCGACGCTCGCGCCGACGCCGACGCCGACGCGGAGTGCCAAAGGCGAAGCCGACGCCGACGCCGATGCTGACGCCGACGCCGACGCCGAGTGCCGACGCCAAGTGCCGACGCCGACGCCCACGCCAACGCCAACTCACGCCGACGCCGACGCCGACGCCGACGCCGACGCCGAGTGTCGAAGCCGAGGCTGTCGCCGACGCCGACGCCGACGCTGACACCGAGTGTCGAAGCCGAGTGCCGAAGCCGACGCTGAATGCCGAATCCGAGGCCGACGCCGACGCCGAGTGCCGACGCCGACACCGTCGCCGACGCGAACGCTGAGTGCCGACGCTCACGCCCACGCCGACGCCGACGACGAGTGTCGAACGCCGACGCCGACGACCGACGCCGACGCCGACGCCGACGCCGACGCCGACGCCGACGCCGACGCCGACGCCGCCAACGCCGACGCCCACGCCCACGCCCACGGCCACGCCGACGCCGAGTGCCGACGCCTAGTGCCGACGCCGACGCGCACGCCCACGCCCACGCCGGCGCCGTCGCCGACGCCGACGCCGAGTGCCGACGCCGAGTGCCCACGCCCACGCCCACGCCCACGGCCACGCCGACACGGGCGCCGACGCCGAGTGCCGAACCCGAGGCCGACGCCGAGTGTCGACGCCGAGTGCCGACGCCGACGCGCACGCCCACGCCCACGCCCACGCCAACGCCCACGCTGACGCCGAGTGCCGACGCCGAGTGCCGACGCCCACGCCTACGCCCACGCCCACGCCGACGCCGACGCCGAGTGTCGAATTCGAAGCCGACGCCGAGTGCCGAAGCTGACGCCGACGCCGAAGCCGACGCCGACGCTGACGCCCACGCCCACGCCCACGCCGAGTGCCGTCGCCGACGCCGAGTGCCGACGCCCACGCCCACTCCCACGCCGACGCCGACGCCGGGTGTCGAAGCCGAGGCTCTTGCCGACGCCGACGCGGAGTGCCAAATCCGAGTCCGACGTCGACGCCGACGCCGACGCCGACTGCCGACGCCGACTGCCGACGCCGACGCCCACTCCCACGCCCACGCCGACGCCGACGCCGACGCCGAGTGTCGAAGCCGACGCCGACGCCGACGCCGATGCTGACGCCGTCGCCGACGCCAGCGCCGACGCCGAGTGCCGAGGCGTGCCACATCAACCAGGCCGTGACCGTGGCGCTGGCGTTGGCACCGTCTGCGGGGTGGCGGTTGCCGCCGCGGCGGGCGCGTCGGCGGTGCTCCTCACGGAAGGGGGGGGACTCGACCCTAAGACATTGGCGTTGCAATTTTTTGCAACGGGCGTCTTCGCCCGGATTTGGGCCCTGGGGCCATCGCAGATCGATCGGGGTTGAACAGAAAGACATAGAAAGACGTGGTCCAGGGCTTGGGTCATGCTGTTCTGCGATGTTTTTTTGCAGCGTCAGATCTCAGAGGATGGTCCGAGGGCTCGGGTCGTCGGTCGTTCCCCCGCTGGTGGTCCGAGAGTGTCGAGGTGCTCTAGGTCCGAGGGGTTCGAGGGGTCAAGAGGGGGGCGGCTATGGGCTCAGGGGATCGGGGCTCGAGGGGGGAGGGATGGGGTTCGGGGGGTCGAGGCGTCGGGGGTGGGGTGGCTCGGGACTCGGGGGCTCGGGGCTCGAGGGGGGAGGGGTGGAGGTGGAGGGGTCGGGAGGGAGGGGGGAGGGCTGTGAGCTCGAGGGCTCTGAGCTCGATGGCTCGAGGCTCGATGGGGGAGGGATGTAGGTCGAGGGGTCGGAGGGAGGACACGGGGACCGAGGCTTGCGCGGGAGGAGTAGAGTTCGAGGGTCGAGGTTCGAGGGTCGAGGATAAGGCGGCGTGCAGGATCGCAGGACCGAGGATCGAAATTCGCGGATTACATCATAGTTTGTGTGTGTGTGTGTGTGTCTAGTTTTTCGGAGGGTGAGCATCTTTCGGGCGCCTGACAGCTTCTGGAGGCTTCGGGGGACTCTCGGATATCCGTTGTCTTCATGATACACTAGTCCTCCCAGGGATGGTGTGGAGAGCTCTAGGGTAGGTAAGGAGTCTAACACCAAATCCCACCAGCCCTTCAGGGCGTCAGTGGTTTAGCGCGCTTCTTTTTTCCAACCTTCATTCTCCCCCTTCGAGGAGGGGTTCACCCCTCCCCCTACCCCCTCCGCCTGGACCTGGACGGGGGCTTTCGCGCCCGCTTGAGGTGTCCAAGATGGCCTCGGCGAGAAGGCAAAAGTCAACGTTATTCATTTTATTCCAGGTTTGGGCGCATTTCGGCTTCTGGGGGGCCCTAATATGGGACCCCCCTTTCTGTGATCGAACTCTTCCAAGATGGCCTCAAGATGGCCCCCAACGCTCCTAAGGGTGATGCCCCAAGAGGGTCCCCGTAACAGTATGCGCCCAAGAGGCCCCCAAGAGGCTCCGTAGCCATTTTGGCTCAAGCCGTGCGGGCTCGAGCCGTTCCGCAGTTTGGTCGCCTCTAGGCGCCCGCCAGGGCGTCTCTGCAGCCGCGGCATCTGCGGGCGGAGGGCACCCGCGGCGGCGAGCGCAATGCAGGGGATGAGCCCGTCCGACGGCACGGCCACCTCGACGGGGACGGGCACGAGCGAGGCTGTCGACCTCGTCCTGCGCAGCCTGCTCGCGCTGCACAGCGAGCTGCAGTCCACCAGCATTGGGTGCAGGGGCCTCGCGGCCAGGATGGAGTCGCATCAGCAGTCCCTGCTCAAGACCATGAAGGGAGTGGACCGCCAGGTGGAGGGGGGCGGCGCGCAGACGGAGGAGATCGCGCAGGAGTTCCCCGAAGCCTCCACGTGGGGCCACGGCTTCCTTGCTGACCTCACCTCGGCCCTCGCCGGGGCCGCGGGGGACAGCGATGGCCTCGCCGAGCCTCATGGTGTCGGAAGCGCCGACGCCACTGAGCCCAGAGGGGGCCCCGCAGGCCGCGGGCGCCAGCGGCGATGCCGATACGCAGGAACCAGCTACGCCAGCAGAAGACCAGGAGCCAGTGCCAGGTCGTCAGCAATCTTATCTCATAGCGATACCCCAGCGGTTCAAGAAGATGCACCTGCCGAGGGGCCTCTCGAGTGTCAAGAGGGCCACCGCAGTGAAGAGCCTTTCCGACGTCAATCACCAGTTGCCACAGCAGCACACCACAATCACGAATCGACTTCCCCACGCGAAAACTCCAGAGCACCACTAGAAAGATGGGCGACGAACTTGTCGTCGACATGGGACTTGCGCGCCCTGTCCATTGGTGGCGTCAGCTGTGAGTGCAGCTTACACAGCCCGAGTTCCTTCCGTTTTTTATTTTTTATTTTTGCTTTTCGTCCCCCATATCTTAAGGATGAGGATCTTGTTATTCCCCACATCCGAAGGATGGGTTTCTTGCCATTACTTAGACCGCGCGGAACACCTCAGACTCACACCTCCCGCCCTCAGGTCATCATTCTCTGACTCACTCACATGTAGACTCACTCATATTCAGAGTCACTCATAGTCAGATGCACTTGCTCTTAGTTTCCTGATACTCAGGTTTCTCATGCTCGGGATCACTCGTATGCAGACTCATTCACACTCTTGGTATTTCCGCGCTCAGACTCACACACACGTTGAGAGGATGTCTCAGGCGAGTTCAGTACTCCAAAGGGGGGGGGCGCCAGGGGGTATATCACATGCCCGTTCGCGCCCAGATTGGGGGGATGTCTCAAGCGGTTTGCCTGCTTGGGTGCCCAACGTGCTCCTTTTTCGGAACAGTTTCCGAGGATGTCTCGGGCGAGGCGCTGGTTTCAGTATGTCCAAGGGGGGCGCCAGGGGGTACATCACAGGCCCGTTCGCGCCGAGATTGGGGGGATGTCTGAGGCAATTTGCCTGTTCGGGTGCCCAACATCCTTCTCTTTCGGAGCAGTTTCCGAGGATGCCCCAGGCGAGGCGCTGGTTTCAGTATTCCCAAGGGGGGGCGCCAGGGGGTATACCATAGGCTCGTTCGCGCCCAGATTGGGGGGATGTCTCGGAAGAAGGAGGAGGGAGGGGAGGAGGAGGAGGAGAGGAGGAGGAGGAGAGGAACGCGGGGCGACGTCTCTTCAAAACGAGGCTCCAACACCACAGGATGGTTGGGAAACACACGTATTCACATATGTGTACAACTGTATATATATATATATAGATATAGGGTACTTCTTATCGCATGCGCTTTTGAACTATATTTCCGACGGAAATTCTGGTATTACGGAGACAAGAGTGTTCAGTTGGAATATCCAGCTGCTTGCGGCAAGTCCAGCCACCATGCCAGCCCAGCATGCTCGGCGGCTCCTTCGAGGGGCCAACAGAGGCCTCTCTTGCGAGCGGCGAACATCACGATATCGACGATAATGATGCTGACGTCGATTATGCGGATGATGATGGTGATGGTGATGAAGATGGTGATGATGATGACGATGATGGTGGCGATGGTGATGATAATGATGATGATAATGATGGCGTTTATGATTAGGATGCTGATGTGGATAAGGAAAATATTGATGACGATGACGATGACGATGCTGAGGATGATGATCATGCTGATGCTGATGCTGATGCTGCTGCTGCTGATGATCATGGCCATGCTGGCGATGATACTGATGCTGCTGATGATGATGCTGCTGACGATGAGGATGGTGATGATATGATTATGAAGTGATGATGATGCTGCTGCTGTTCATGATGAACAGGATTGTCTTTGTTATTGGGGTTCCCCTTTTATAAACAGCTTAATCCGGCCTTTTGCCGTGCACCCTTTTTTCTCCTTCCTTTCTCCCGCAACCGTTGGCTTCAGCACGGAGGAGGAGGAGGAGGGGGAGGAGGAGGAGGAGGAGGGGGAGGAGGAGGAGGAGGGGGGGAGGAGGAGGAGGAGGAGGAGGAGGAGGAGGAGGAGGAGGAGGAGGAGGAGGGAGGAGGAGGAGGAGGAGCAGGAGGAGGGGGAGGAGGAGTTAAAGGAGGAGGAGGACTCAAGGGAGTAGGAGGAGGAAAAGGAGGAGGAGGAGGAGGAGGAGGAAGAGGAGGAGGAGGAGGAGGAGGAGGAGGAGGAGGAGAAGGAGGAGACACGTCTACGATCAAACATCGAAGGGTGCGCGTAGACCTATGAGCATTCTGCATATGGTGGGCAGATTCGACGAACACTTTAATTCCAAGGTGCATCAATTTTGTAGTCGGTTTCCTACCCGATGCCTGAAAAACAAAAAAGGCATACAGTCAACCAGCATTGTAAGGCTGACCGACTTTCCAAGTATACCTTTGCAGCCTTCGCTTTCGGCTCATCCTTGGGCCGCTTCCGCTGGCAGCGCCCCGCTCGCAAAGTGTGGACATGACCTTCCAAGGCTCCTGTGTCCTTCTCGTGCGTCCTTCTGATACGGGTTGGTTGTAAACATAAGCTTTCGGAGCTCCGTGCGGATTTCTTGGATCGGCGCTGGGCCTCCCTGGCGGTGCCTCCGGCGTCTTCCATTTCGCGCTCCGCGCGCAAAGGAGCCGGTTTCACCGCAGATCCAAGAGTTTCGCGCAGATCTCCACCATGTATGTTTGTGTGTGTGTTTTTTGGTCTTCCTCGATCTGCATTTGGTTGGGCCATTCGCCAGGCAGATTTGTGTTATTCGGTCCTCCTTCCTTCTTCTCTGGGGCGCGCGTGGGGCGTTCTTGGGGGCCCTGGAAAGCGCCCCTGGGAATTTTAGCATCGTGACACCGACCCCCGGGAGTCACCTGGGGGTGCGCCGTGGGTTATATTTCGCCGGGAGATTTCCAGGGGCCGCTCCGTGCGCGCGAACTAGAGAACTGTCAACCTGTTGCTGGAGACCTTAGCAAACCTCTGGTCCGATGGGCCAGCGAATTCGATCAGAATGTGTCCACGGTGCAGAATCGAACGAGAACCGTTGACGATGGGACCGACAGGCGGAGCGCAACGATGCAGAGCACAGTGGGGCTTTGGAAAACTGCAGAGTTCAGTGGGGGGTTCAAAAGGCCGTAGTGTCCAGCTGACACCTTCGGAACGCCCCTGGCGAGTCGCCACTGGGGAGGAAAAACACAGAAAAACACGATCACCGCTAGGAACCGTAGAGAAACCCCGAAGAATCTTCAAAACCGAACCCCCGAAGACTTCTTACGCAAGCCTCCTCCTCGCTCCTGAGCTCGGCTGCGTGCGGGGGGGGAAGTGAGAAGGAAAAGGGTTTCTCAGAAGGCGGCGGGGCTTCTCAGAAGCCCACTGGCCTTTCAAGAAGGTTTTTTTTATTTCTCTGTTTTCGAAGAATCCCGAGCCTTCTGAGCAGGCCTCTTCCTCCTCACTTCCCCCGGGCTCGCCGCCGATCTGCTGCTCCTCTGCCGCCCCTCCTCCCCCCTCCAGGCGCGCCGGCGGGGCGCTGGCCGCCGGCCCGCCTCTTCCCGCACCGCGGCGGCCGCGGTGGCCACCGAGGCGGGCTCGGCCCCGCACATCTTCGCTACGCGATCGCTCCGTCCTCGCTCCTTCCTCGCTCCGTCTCTCGTCCTCCCCTCCTCCCCCGTCCTCCGGCCTCTGTCCCCCCCCTCCTTTGCCTCCCTCCCTTCTCCTTTTTCCTCCCCGTTCTCCTCCTCCACCTCCTCCCCCTCCCGCTCGAACGGTATCGTCTTGCCTCTTTCACCCACCCTTGCCGCTGCCGCTTGCAGGTACAATTCCGCGCCCGCTGTTCGTGTACATCCGCTGTTGCGTTTACTCCGCTGTTCGAGAGCATCCCGTTTTCACATTCACTCTTATTTCCTTTGCTCTAGTTGGTAGGGGAGTTTCGGCTCCAATGCCACGGCCGCAGTGATTCGCCTTGCGATCGATGGCACCGGCTCCCACCCTCCGCCGCTGTTCATGCCGCGTTTTCATCCAGCTGTTCATCACGCTGGTCCTCTCGCTGTCCGTTCGCCTTCATGAGCCTCCTCCCGCTCGCGGTGGCAGGATACGTCGTGCTTCTAGGGTCTGTAGGGGCGTCCGCCCATCCGCCAGGACCGACGAGTGGAAAGGCCCACGCGTACCTCGACCAATACATAAAGGAAACCTACAAGGACCCAGCCGCGCGCCAGAGCTTTCAGCGATCCTTCCCGGGCGTGCGCTGATTGTGTCAGCACAGCTCGCGGACCCTACTCTGTCAATGCGCCCGCGCGTGGATGTAGCCGCAAACGCTGGACAGTTGCTCAGTTAAGGGTCCGAGGCCTTTGGTGACTGCGTCAGGAGAGCCGTCGGATGAGTAGGCAGAGAAGAACGGGGAGGCAACGGAGGGTGCTGGCGATTGTGTCGCCAGCACCCCGAGGGAGAGCGAAACGGGTCTGGGAGAACCTGCTTTGGACTATTTGGGGCATGACCTTTCACCTTGCCCGCGCGTTTCCTGCATCCTGGCAGGACTGGGTCCCGATGCGCACTCCTTTTGGCGATCGTGCAGTTGACAGTGTTCCGCACAGTGGCAGCGCGTCGTGAGAGGAGCACCCCCTTGATTGTGCCACGGGATGTTCCGAGTTCCGAGGAGCACCACGACCACGAGACGAAAGCATGCGCCCAATGCGCAGACGAGGAGGGACACATCTAGGGCAAGTATCCACGGCGCCTCGGAGGCACGCTCCCCGAGCGGCGTTGCTAGGATGGAAGGCCGTCGGAATGGGCGTGATTGCCTTCGCCAGGTGCTGCGCCTTCTGCTTGGGCGCAGGCGGAGGCAGCGGCAGCGCGCGACGCCTCCGCACCTGTGGTCCCGAGCAGCAAGCTCGAGTGCCCTTCCAGACATGGGTGCGGGAGGTGACGATCTGGTCAGTGGCGAATTCAGACTTCGACGAGCTTTGCCATGCGGCGCGCGTCTCGTCGCGCCTCACCAGCATGGCGCGTGAGTGCGTGGGCGAACGGCTGCCGGATGTCCTGACCCAGGGAGATTTCATCAACGGCTACGCAGCGCCGCCGATGCCTCCCCCCATGAACAATGTTGCCGAATTGCGGGGCCAACTGGACCAGGGGGAGCGCGTTTGGCCGCGTCGGAACTGATGATTTTCAATGGGCTGCCGCACGAGCGCGTCGTCGACGACCTCCTCGCGCGATTCGACATCCCCCGCAACCAGGGGCGGCGAGCTTGTCAAATCAGAACGAGCGCGTTCTGCGGTCGCTTGGAGAGGGGGGTGGAACCGCCCGCCCCCCCCCCCCCTGGATGGAGTGGCGGGGTTTGGAGACAGACCTCCCCCCCTTCTGCTTCTCCTCTCTCCTGCTCCTTGGGCCGGCGCCTGCGTCGGCGGTGGCTGGCGGCGGCGGCGGCGGGGGCGACGACTTCCTTTTCTGGGCCAGCGCTGGCGCCTGTGGCGCCTGCGGCGGCGGGCGGCTGCGGCGGGGGGCGTCGACGAGGACGGCGGTGGTGCTGGTGGTGGTGGTGGGTGGTGGTGGTTTCGTTGGTGGTGTGGTGGTTTGTTGTGGTGGTGGTGCTTGTGGTGGTGGGTGGTGGCGGTGGTGTTTTGGTGGTGGTGGTTTGGTGGTGGTTTGTGGTGGTGGTGGTGGTGGTGGGTTGTGGTGGTGGTTGTGTGGCGGTGGTGTGGTGGTGGTTTGTGGTGGTGGTGGTGGTGGTGGGGGGTTGTGGTGGTGGTGGTTTGTGGAGTTGGTGGTGGTGGTTTGTGGTGGTGGCGGTGGTGGTGGTGGTGTGGTGGTTGGTGATGGTGGTGGTGGTGGGTTGTGCTGCTGGTAGTGGTGGCGGGCTGTGCTGCTGGTAGTGGTGGTGGTGGTGGTGGAAGGGGTGTGGTAGATTGGTGGTGGTGGTAGTGCTGTTGGGTTTTCGTCGTGGTGGTGGGCGTGGTGGTGAGTTGTGATGGCGGTGGTTGTGGTGGTGGTGGTGGTAGCTGCGGTGGTGGTGGTGGTGGTGGTGGTGGTGGTTGTGTGGTGGGTTGGTGGTGGTGGTGGTGGGTTGAGGTGGTGGTGGTGGTGGTACTGTTGGTGGTGGTAATGGTGGTAATCGTCGCTGCGTCCCCGCCGTCGCCCGGCGCGGGGGGGGGGAGGATTGGACCCCCCCCTGGGCTGCCTCTGCTCATCGTCGCTGCGACCCCACTGTCGGCGCGATGTTGGCGGCCGCCAGCGCTGGCGCTGGCGCTGCGGTCGGGGGGGTTTGAACCCCCCTCCTTCGGGGGGCGGGGGGGGGTTCGGGGGGGGTTCGGGGGGGCGGTGTTGGTGGCGTGGGGGGGGGGTCCCTTGGTTGTGATCGACGGCGCCGAGTGCAGGGGGGGGGTGCCCGCCCCCCGGCTCGAAACGCGCCGCCGAATGTTCCCGAGGTAAGCGCCCGCGAAACGCTCTCTTTCAAACCATGACTGGCTACGAGGGCCTCGGCTTCCTCTTGCTGCGCGCCGTCGGCGTGTCGAATATCTAACTAGCCATGATCCTCCGTCGCTGCAGCGTGGCCCACCCCGTGAACGCCTGGCAGTCCGCGCGCGTGGCGGGGCTGCTGCGGCGGCGTGGGCGCGACATAGAGGGGCCGCCAGGCGACCTCGCCTCGGCGGCCCAATCTGCCCAACGGCGCACCTTCCTCACGGGTGCGCCCACGCGAGATCAGGTTCAGGGTGCCTGTGGCGCCGTGGCCGGATCGATTTGGGATGGCACGGGCCCGGCCGCGCCGGGGTCGGCGCCGCGCCCGCCCGCGCCGGCGGCCGCCGTCAACGCGGGGGCGGCGTCGCCAGCGCAGGGGGCGTTCCCGGCGACGGGTGTCGATTCAGGCGACGGCGCCGACGCCGTCTGTTCCTTCGGCGAAGAGTTTGTCGCAGACGGCCCCGAGCTGTGCGACGCCCCCGTGGAACAATGTAGCGTTCGCCTCTTTTGGGCTTGCGAGCGCGCCAGGGCGCGACGGCGCAGTGTCGGCCGCCGGGGGCCTTCGCCTTGCGCCCAGGGGGCCATCGAACGGAAGGGCAAGGGCCAGGGCGCAGGCCGCCGCGCCTTCCTGGCCGACATGCCCGAAAACAACCCCCAGGAGACTTGCGCGGACATCGGGGGGGGGGGGGGGGGCAAAGGCAGAGGGGGGCGCGGGGCCGGTGGCGCGGGCTCGGGCCGTCGCGGAAACCCCTTGGGCCATGGCGGGGTGCGTTTATAGTGCCGCGAGTGTGATTCTGAGCAGCGCGTCGTGCGCGACTGCCCCCCGCGCCGCGTCCAGGGGCTTTGCTCTCTTCCTTGGCGCCCGCGCCCCAGCGCTGCAGTCGCGCCCGAGCAGCTGCCCCTGTTGTCCACGCGCGGTCTGGATGGCCAGGGGCGCCCCCGGAATCCTGTGCCCCGTGGCTCGGGGCCGGGGGAGGGCGATAATGCGTAGAGCGTTGGCCTTGGAAACTGGGGGCAGCCGGCTCTGGCCGCCGCGGCCAGCAGCGACTGCCGTTCTAATAAGTGCGTCGTCAGACGGTCCTCAGCAACAAGTCGGCCGCTGCCGCTGGTCGAATTGGGCCGGTGCGTCGCCCTCGTCTCCGTCCTCTCCCTCGGCCCTCGCGACGCCGAGCGGCGACGACTGCGGCGGGGGATGGCGTGACTGATGGGGGGCGCGCCAGACTCTGCGCCGCCGGCCCGCGCGGCAGCGGTGGGGGAAGTGGCGCTGGTCGCGGCGCCGACTGTTCCAGCATTGTGAAGGGCGCCGCCGCAACCAACGCCGCGGCGGTGGGCGCGAGTGGGCGGTGCATCCCCACTGGGGCAAGCTTGGGCGACATCGGCGCACGGGTCGCCGCGCCCCCTGCCGCTGCCCGCCGGCGACGCCCGCGTGGATTTGCGCGCGCCGCCGTGCAGGCCGTCGCCCCCATGGTGGCCGACCTCGCCAGGCGCGGGCTCGAGCTCGCCGAGCGAGTTGCCGCGCTGCCTGGCGAGCGTCGATCGACCAGGTGGTGGCCTGTCAGGTGCCTGGGCGCACCTCTGTGGACGGACAGCTTCGCCATGAATTTGGCCCGCGGGGCTCCAGAAGGCAGGAGTGCGGCCCCCCGAGGAGAAGTTGTCGACCCCGCTGTGCGCGGCAGGAGTTGGCGACGAGTCGCGGGTTGCGCGTTGCGAGGCGCACTGCCCCGTCGCGGCGACTTCCCGCGACGGCGCGGCCAGTCGGCGCGGCGTGCGCGCTCTGGCCGTGGAGGGCGTTCGCAATGACCCCCCCGCCTGATTGGGATCGCAGTTCATGCGCTCCAGCAGCGGGGCGGTGGAGACGGGCGTTGGCCGCGGGCGCCCCGCCTTCCCCGGGCCAGGCGGCTATGGCGAGATCGCGTGGGGCCCCGGCGCCATCCACGCCGATTTGGCGTCGGCGCCGAGCGGCCGCGCTCGCGCCCCTGTCGGCGACTTCGGCAAGCTCCAGCCGCGCTCCGGGGGTCCGCCGCCCATTCAAGCAGCTCGCGCTGCTGGCGGTGGGCGACGACGCCCGGGGTGGCAGCGCCACCGACGGCCGCCAATGTAAGGGACTGAGGATGCCAGTCCCGATGCCTGGGC